CCTCATCGAAGCGCAGTACGAAGCTTCCACATGCATAACGAAACCTTGACCGACCCTATCCAGGTAATCGCAGGTGTGAGGCAAGGATGTATACTGTCACCGCTACTGTTCCTCATCGTAACAGACGAGATCATGGTAGGAGGTGCAACTGACCGTGTTCCGAACCGTGGGCTGTTTGGCAGCCTATCAATTAGCCGACGACGATAGCGTAGTGGTAAGCGTGACTGCTTCTTCACCCCCATAGGTCTGGGTTCAATCTCAGCCGAGGTCGGTGGGATTTTTTAGGCATAAAAATCTCTGGTCACGTCTTTCTTTGGAAGGGAAATAAAGCCGTTGGTCCCGGTCCATGTGTGTTGAATGAGTGCGATATCCTACGCAGGTGTGGAAGTTGCCATGGCAATTGATGTCCTTCGGGGAATGTGGAACAGAGACCGACGTTAAATAATAGAAAGAAGATATCAGGTGTAGCATTTGATAACGGCACAAAAGCATTTGTAAACAAACAGGAACAGGACTAAGAGCGACATAGGAATCAAGAAAGCTATGACTAGACGCTGAAGAAGTTTGCAAATAGTTAACGAAGTACGAATCTGCTGTAGTTTTTTTTTTAAATTGATAGTGAAAGTTAATAGTGAAAATTAATAGTGAAAGTGAATAGTGAAAATGAAAAGTGAAGTGAAAGTGATACAATAGTAGTGGAAGTGCACCAGTATTCAGGCATGGAAAATCATTTGCATTCATTGCGTGCATTCATTTACATTCATTTGCCTCTAACTTTTTCTTCAACAGCATTAATCAAAATGGTGTATAGAGATTTTGTAGGTTTTGTTGTTAGCTACAATTTTGATAAAAAGTCAAATCCGTATCTCTTATGCATGACGAACCAGAGCGAACAGAAACCGCTACTGTTTTTCAGTGAATGTATTTTACATTCACTGAAAAACAGTAACAAGTTCTGTCCGCTCTAGTTCATGATGCATAAGAGATACAGGTTTGAGTTATGAGCAAAAGTTTTAGTTAATAAAAAAACCTACAAAACCTCTTTTTCATCATTTTGCGGAATGCTGTTGATGAAAAAAAGTTAGAGGCAAATGGATGTAAATGAATGTATGAAATGAATGCAAATAATTTTCCATGGCTGCCAGTATTGGTCATTTGTTCCTATTTTGGCCACACCTCAGAAAACCGATTAAATTACAAAATCGTGCGTTTTGTGGACGAAATGTTTATGTACACCGATAAATATGATTTGGACCAACAAACTGAAGGCAACTGAATATCACAAAATTGTAAACAACGTGAAATAAAGTCAAAAGGTGGCCAAAATAGGAACATGGTCAACACTGGTACGTTCCCCCTAGTAGAACTCAAAGGAAAAAAACAAGGTTATAAGGTATACAACTATTCTACTAAAATACTCATCAATCTATTTGGAAGGCTAGGGCTCCTTTTGCGAGTTTACGAAATGTATGGAAATCTAATCAGATAAGTCAACGTACCAAAATTGGAATTTTCTATTCAAACGTGAAAGTTGTGTTGTTATACGCCAGCGAGACGAGGTGTGCATCAGCGGAGAACACTCAAAAACTGCAGGTCTTTGTCAACCGATGCCTGCGATATAAAATTCATGCCTGGTGGCCTCACAACTGGATCTCTAATGCTGAACTCCATCGTCGATGTCATCAGTATCCGATATCAACAGAAATTCGAGAACGTAAGTGTAGGTGAGATGAATTGGAACCCGGCAAGACATCGCTGCAGAGGCAGACCCAGGGGCTCATGGTGGTGGAGCCTCAACAAAGAAATTAAGGAGGTCGACTGGAATCTGACCTGGCCCTACGTCAAGGCAAAAGCGACCAGCCGCCCAGGATAGATTTTTTTCACTATTCACCACTAAGGGTGTGCAGCCCAAGTAATAATTTTGGTCTTGTGAGGGTTCTGTAGACCATGATTTAGGCTTGAAGAATGCTATAAAACCTCTTTAAAGTTTGCAATGTTACTTTTGATCAGGGTTGCTTCGACTCACTTGTTATAAAAAATTGTTTTTTCGGGATTATGATATTATTAGATGATGTAACGTTATGTTGTACTTATAAGTAACCTATATAAGTCCCTTTTAGTCCCCTGGTTGGAAAATGTGTGATTTTCGTACACCAAAACTTCCGTTGATAGATGAAAAATTTCCTTTAATATTTACGACAACTCAAGAACCGGAGCAGCACAATCTCGACGACGTCAGTCGTAAACTTTCCGGCTCCCAGAACCGCATATTAGCCGCAAAATTAAATTCTTCCCCTCTTCTTCGGTCTCAAATTCTTTCAGCACTTTTTTTTTTCGTTTCGCGGTCTTTTAAATTTTCCAACAAACGACAAAAAAGAATCGTGACAAGAAAAACTTTCCTCGATCGAATAAAGTGAATGGAAGTTTGATGACTGAGCAACGTGTGACTTCTTGATGTTTCGAAATTGATTGGTTAATCATTTCCTGGAACAACTTTAACTTATTTGCGAATCTTAAAACAAGTTAGAGCGAACAATAATTCCACAGAAAACATCGACTCTGAAAACAGATGACGTAAGCCAATTTCCCCCCTTTCATCCACGTGTCATCCGATTCTGCAACCAATCCATATCAAATCCATTTACTACCTATTCCACCGTTTTACTCATCTCACACAACAACCCTTCCTGCTCATTGATAAAAGGGAAATTGTGTTTTCCGCCACTTGCTGACTGCTGCTCATATCAAGGCATAGCGTGATATTCGGAGACGAAGACGATATGCGATTTGAAATTCCGATGCGATGGAGAAAGAAAGTGAAAACCATCGTGGCATCTTCCGACACAGGTGTCGAAGGAAAGTGAATCCGCGATGGATGATTTATGGAAATTTCCGAATAACCCCAAAATTGGTAAGAGGGGATATAATCTTAAGTACCTGCACGTACGGTCCTGGTCTATGGGTTTGAGCGAGAAGCGAGTCCAGTTGGAGTTAATCATAGTCATGTTCCAGATTTAATTACGGCACTCGCTCTGCTATTCACCATCTGTGGTTGATAATTGTAAAACGAAATGCTAAAATGGAAAGCGAAACCAACGGTATCGTTAGAGCATTTGAAGTGTGTTCGTCGAATGAGGGAAAGAAGAGCATGCAAATTGTGCAGATTATTTGCCAGTTTTATCGTTTTTATGGTATCGTTATGAAGAAAGTTATATGAGTGCTATACAAAGATGGTGATTTATGATTGCTCGGACACCGCATCTGGACCCATCTAGACGATTCTTTGAACAAGAATCAACTTATTTAATTGGAAATCAGTGCTGCTTTGCTTGCGTTCTGTGTGTAAGACGTTTTAGGATAGCTTTTTTTTTTGAAAAAAATTTCATCGACGTCATTGCCCCTCAATTTACGCACGCTAACATTGTAACGGGTTAGAACAATTTCAATTAACTTCTAAGGAAATGTTTAGAAAAACAAAAAATACTTGAGGGCAGATGCAAAGTTTCAGTTGAATTGTACTATCCAAGGTGAAGAAATTATTTATAAGACGAATACTAGTTTTAACATTGATTTCTTTCAAGGTGTTTTTTGCTACTTCATACATGTTTACGATTTTCAGAGTCAGAAGGAAATGATTTTCTTACATCAACACGAAGCTTTAGTGCGATAATTTTTTAGTTAAAAATAAGTTCTGAAGACAATAGATTTTTAGTTCCTTTAGAGTATGGCAGTTGAAATTGAGTGAAGAGCCATTAATGCGACAATACTAATAAAATACGCACATTTTTACTTAGATCACACTTTGATAGGTGAAGGAGTTTAAGGTCTGCCGTTGTGGAATAGTTCTAGTGAAGTTTATCGCTACCTAAAGCCCACGTTTCCGAAAGCATTTCCATTTTTGTATTTTTCGTAGAAATGAACTGGGAAAGCTGCAATGTGATGCTTGCAATAGCCACTATCCAAACGCTCCGATTTTCCAGAAATTAACATCAATCAACCTACACGGCCATTGAATCTGACTCCATATTTGGTTTAAATTTACTTAAATTCTCAAACACGTAGGTCACACATAAACTGAGTAAATGTTTGCGTAAATGTCACTCATATTTCAGTTAATGCCACTACAATGTCAGTGACATTTACCCATATTCGTGTAAAATTTTATTAAGTTCATGAGTGACGTACGTCATTGAGCATTTGAGTAAACAGAACTCTAATATGAATCAAATTCGACGACCGTGTAACCCTCGTGCATTACCGACTCCGTGTGATTAATAAGTTCAATTTCCATTTCCAGATACCGCCCACGAACTCCCAAAACTTTTTCCTACATAAAACGAGGTCAGTTAAAAGCGAAACTCACCTCACTGCTCACAACAAGTGGCAGCAGTAGCAGCAGTAGTGGCGCCCCCCCCCCCCCCCCATCTGCTATCCGTCGGAGTTCATAACTATCACCAAAAGTGTTGTCGAGTGAGTGAGTGCCCGCAGGCTCGCTTGCTAATAACAGAGTAGGTGGATTTCTCTGTGGCAAAGTGCTAGGCGGAGAAATTACCAAAAGTGAAAAATCATCATCATCATCATCGTCGAACATGTGGGCCTCGGCCATCGGTTGCCCCTGAATAGTGCAGTGTTTAGGCGATTTGTGGGTGAAAGTGAGTTTTTTTCTGTTTTCTGTATTGTGGTTTTTTGTAAAGTTTTGGAAAATGCGGCATAATGTTTGTTCGAAAGATTTTACCATTCAGTCCGTCGAAATGGGACGCATCCGCACCGACGGCCGGTCGCAGTGATTTGTGACAGTGCGGATATTTGCCTGCCCTCGTGCTACATCATACAGGGGAAGAATAACGAAAAAAAAAACGTCATATTTTATCTGACCGAGCGCAATCCATTTATCTTGTCCGGGAGCAACTGTTTGTTTTGATTTGCAAGAAAAAGTTCCTACTCTGACCAACGGGACCTTAGTGAGGGTATTTGAATACTACTACGCGTCGTCACACACGGAGTCACCATGGAGTCCATCTACGGAACGAACAAACACAAATATCTGCAGAGTCTGACCGCAGGAAGTGACTTCTACAGATGTCCCAGCACAATTAGACCGATGGTAAGTTAAAAACTTGAATATTTCATGGGTGGTGGGCGCCAAAACTGGCAGCTGGTGGTCATTCCTGGCACAATGTGTTAGTAGTAAGACTGGCATTGCATTACTAGCGGTTCAGAGCTACGGAATGATTTCAGCCTCAGAGCACCTTAATTTACGTGAATTTTTCTAAGTGTGTAGGAATTTCACTTAAAAATGTTCGTACGCTTTGTTCCGTTGGTTATTTTACCGAAATCCACTTGCCAGATTGAAGCATTCTGATGAATCAAGATATTTTGATGATCCCAGACATTTAAATCCAACCCAATTCTGATTTTCAAACAAAAATAATGTTTAGATCCCTAAGCTTCATAACTATTTCAGTTCCCCAGAATCGATCATTTTCTGATTCGTTTGTATCCACGGCCAAGCCTATACCGTTTTCTTTAGCTTGTAAAATCTGCAGAATTTCCCGGGCATCAAAAATATCGTGATCCAGAGTTAGATTAAATTGATCCATCACGCTACAGGTCAAGACTTCAATCACCGGACAATTCACGAACGAGTTTAAATGTGTTAAAGTGACTACAGTCAAGCATGGGTCTCGGAACTGACAGCAGTAGAAGAAAGGAAAGATAAACTGAAAGGCAGCCGAACAATTTTGTCTACCGAAGAAGAACCCGATTGAATGCGAAAAAAACGAACGTAATGTTTAAAATAGCGAGTGAAATATTGATTGGCTCAGTGATTTGAATCAATTGAGGTGGACGCAGCAGTATTACAGTATTTCCGTGACGCCTACGTTTATTTATTTTTTTTGTTTATTACTTTATTTGTACAGGCTCAATCGAATAAACTTTACAGAGCCGAGTTATCATTTTCGTTATACATTATTAATATCTTATATTTGAAGAACTGGACCGAATACTCGCGGTTGCCTCGAGATTTGTGAAGGTTTACAATTTTTTGGAAGAGAAACGGGAGAAGGAGGTTTGATACAAATATTAAATTAATCTTAAAACATGAACTTGAACATGAACTATTCATCTTAAAAACAAACATTAGAAAAAAAACCCACACATACAAAATACAAACTAAACACAAGGTTAGTCAAACTTACTATCTAAGTTTAATATTCTTAAAGAAAACATATATGAGTTTCAAAAACTCCAGATCGTGTCTATCCAAAATATCCCGAACTGGAACATTAGGTTGTCTACCTCGCGCCCGAAGGGAATGGAACAGCTCAGATCTGACTCCACGATGAACCAAGGACTCTTCGACACCTTAGGGATGATCGAATATAGCCATCGTCCCAAACTCCCTTCACTCCATTTATTTTGCCAGCTGGCGAGTGACTGTTGACGATAAATGAAGAAAAAATCATCGTAGGCGATTTGTCGATCGTAAATATCGCCTTCCATAGCGCCCACCTTAGCAAGTGAGTCCGCCTTCTCATTGCCCGGGATCGAGCAATGAGATGGGACCCATGCAAAGGTGATGACAAAAGATCTTAAAGATAAAGCGTTTAGAAGCTCTCGTATTTTCATGAGAAAATACGAGGAGTGCTTTACCGGCCTCATGGAGCGAATAGCCTCGACAGAACTGAGACTATCCGTAAAAATAAAATAATGATCTGGTGCAAGTGAGGCGATAGTTTCTAGCGTAAAATGTATTGCCGTCAGCTCAGCAACATATACGGAACAAGGAGCTTGAAGCATTCGAGAGGTGCTATGAAATTCGTTATAAATACCAAAACCAGCGGACGCCTTTATTAGTGATCCATCTGTAAAGAACGATCTTGCGGAATCAACTTGGCCAAACTTTGCAGCGAAAATTGACGGAGCAATCATGGAACGATGATGCTCTGGGATTCCGCGAATCTCTTGCGTCATTGATAAATCAAAATGAACAGAACTGTCAATAATCAACCGTGGAGTAGGAAGAACTGAACAGATATCTGAAAATTGTTTTCGATTAACCGAAACTCGGGGAGGAATATACACAGAAGCAATACAAAGGCTCTTACCTTTAACAATAGCCTGACATGCGACAACTTCAGTACCTGGAAAGTGTGGAAGATTCACTCTATAGAAGGAATGGCAATTTTTGATCCCCAAAAGTACCCCTCCTCCACGCAAATCCTCACGATCACGAATGTTAAAATCATGAAAAGGAAGAGCGATATCTGAAGAGAGTCAAGTTCCACAAAGAGCAAATGCATCACAATCATTATGGTGAACTAAAAACTGAAACGATTCTAATTTAGGAAGAAGACTTCGACAATTCCACTGTAGAACAGTGATCAAATCCCCAACCTCGTTTGGAAAATTATCCATCGAAGGAAATGATTGCTGCAAGGAGGGGCCACTTCAATATCAATTGCTTCAAGAGGGTCTTCACAGTAGGAAGCATTGCCAGAACAATGCTTTTGAGAGGATCAGAATTATCGTGGGATACCGTCCACAATGTCATCAAATGAGAACAACCCAGATGAAGAAGGGGCTTTGGATGTCCCGGGAGTGGTGGAAAATCAGTCTGTTCTTTGGAAACCAGGAGGAGTTGAAACTTCCTTTTTTCCACCACTTCTTGGATTTGTGCAAGCTGATTTGAGGTTCCTGATCAGCGACTATCCGTGAACGGATGCGTCTTCGTTTCAGTGAAGAAACTTCCGGAAAAGTGAAAGGAATTCCCTCCTCAGCCAAGTCAGAGTCAGACTCGTCATTTGACAAAAGAGCGAAGCTATTTGCGTCGTTGGTCGATGGCTTGGCTGTCTTAAGCTTTTCTGCAAAAGACCGCCTGGAACGTTCCTTAAGAGAGCGTTCTAGTTTCTCCCCGCGTTGTTTGTACACCGGGCACGACGAGAGACCATGAGGAGGAGATCCTTTGCAGTACTCGCATTTTAGTACAGTAGCTGCACAGGCGCCATCCTCATGCTTCTCCCAAATGCATTTGGAACAGCGTGCCTTGCTGCCACAGTGGGAGGCCGCATGGCCCAACTGCTTCCATTTTTGGCAGTTCATGACCCGGGGAACGAACAAGCGCAGAGGCAGCCGAAGTTTTCCCAGCTCGATGTAGTGAGGAAGAGTTGAACCAGAAAAGATCACACGAAACGAGTCTGTGGGAGTAAAACTCTTTTTACCCTCGCTGGCAGATACTGAGCTTAGTTTTTGGACATCCAGTATCTTCACTGGGGGAAGCAAGGGGTTCTTGAAACGGCCAACCGCCCGCTTCTCCAAGATCTCGGGGTCAGACTCGCTTCGGTAAACACACCCCCAATCTCCACATCAAGAGCTGAAGTGTAAATTATACTCGAGGGTAAAGAGCTGGGAGACAGCAATATCATTAGCTTGCTTAAGGTTAGAGACGGAAACACGAAGCTTATTGTGCCTAACCTTCGTGAGTTTGGTCACGGCCGAGAATCGCTTCGTCAGATCATTAGTAATTTGCATTACATTCAAAGGTTTGACAACCCATGGACCAGTCGAGTCATTCGGATAGGCCCGTGATTGGGAGCTTTTCTTAGCCTGCCCATTGACAGACTGAGACGACGAACCAGGGATGACATCATCAGTTTTCTGAGATGATTGGTTATCCATGTCGACTTTCGACAAAACTTCCATTTTGTAGTACTAGTGGGAGCGCAAAACGATATGGTGATCGTCCGGCCATTTTCCACAGCGATGGTGCTGTTTCGCTGGTAGGAAGTGATAAAAATCACCATATAGAAATTGAGAGAAGTAGGAATAATTCGCTTTCAGTGCATATTCAGATCAATAACAGTGAAAGACAACCTAAATAAATTAATCAGGGACTCTGTCGTTAAGTTTTTTTTTCCCATAAATTATTGTTAAACAAGCTACAATTAAATAAAAATGATTTTTCCCCATACAGGTTTACCTGCTTTACTACCAGTCCCCAGAGAGTTAAAAAATTCAAATTTGAGAGAGAGAAAATTCTCTCTCACGACCTCAATTTCTCAGCACGCCATGCATTTTGATGACACTCGATGTGTGAGTACCCTTTCAAAGATTACAAAATATGGGACAAAATGCCTCAAGATATCGTGCGTGCCCGCTGTAACGATTTTTAAAAACGGATGCGGCTCGTAATTAAAGGAAAAGGAAAAAGATTTGAATTGGACTAAGTTAAGACAAATGTTATCATTTTTATGACAATATACTTTACTGACAGGAATTACCTTTCACCCTGTACACTTCCCAATTTCGGGTCATGTTGACATACAAATAAATCTAAACCAAAATCAAAACAAAGTTATAGTCAAGCCGCCAACCAAAAACAGCATTTTATGCTGAAGTATTTTTTAGTAAATAAATTGAACATGGAGTGAAAACAAGATAGTAAATATTACCATAATGCTTGAATAAAACCCTAGTACAAGCTCGTATTTGACTCATGACATGTTATTTCTTGATCTCTGAAAAATATTCTCTGAAAGTTTAAAGCTATTTGATGAAATAGCTAAAAAGTTTCAGCTGTTTATGTGTTTGTAATTTTCAACACCCTTTGTTACAAGATATACAATATTATCTCAACGCATACTTTAGCCACTGCTCCAAGAGCATTCAGCATCTTTCTGGCTGTTGCTCATGATGTTTTGGTCTCTGCATACAACCGTTTATGATTTTGTTATTTAATTTTAATGAGATGATGGTATGATATGATGTCAAATGATAGATTCCCGCTCATTGCAGATCCCGGGCATTTTTCCGGTTTTACCCAGAACATGATCGTTATTGATCTTGTTATTGGATTCAATCACATGATAGGTTTCTTATAAGGTAGGCTCAGGCCACTTCCCCGGATGATCCCGGACATGTCTAGTGAGGCAGTGCTCGTTAGTGATAAATCAGACGCAAAATGTGAGACTTTCTAGACAGCATGTTCACAACAACGATCTTCTGAGCTGTTAACTACTGTGCAGTGCACTTTCAAAATACTCCACCTCCTAAATGCACTAAAAATTCAACTGATCAGGATTATATCAAGTTTCAACATCAAAT